CCACAGACAGAAGAGTATAGTTTCTAGTTGTAGTAGAAATTATACTTATCTGTTGGACACTGCTATAAACCTGTAAAGGATCTCTGTAGCCGTGATATTGTTATAGTACTGCTGTTAAGAAGGCCACGGTACTGTAACAATATGATATTAAACTCATATGTTTTATAGCAAATAACTAATACAGCCTTTTTCTGTCTTTGAAATACATAGCTACTTGCTAATATCTACTAGTAAGATCTAGTATAGAGAATCAATATGATCTAGTAAGAGTATTTAATATTTGATTAATTTGAGATAATAAGTAAGCATTCTTCTTGATTATAGTATTTAGCTTTCTGTAGCCTATATAGAAGTATAATTTACTATTTTTCTTTTATACTAATATAATCAAAGAAGTTCAGAGGCTATTTGATGATTGTATTAGTTTATTATCTAGTATTCGTTAAATTTTCTCTTTAACAAATACTTGTTCATTTAAAGATATCGAATAAGGTCAAGAATTTACAGAAGGTATATCTTTAGTATAAATTTTATAAGTAACTAGATTAGTTCATTCTAGTTTATTAATATCTGATACAAATAAGTCTGTAAAATTTTCTAGTAGTTGTCTAAATCTTTGTCTTTTATCTTCTGAGAGAGTCTAATATTTTATAGTTATTGTATAGATGATTTTCAATATCATGAATATTTTTCTAATCATATGCAGATGTAAAATTTGGTTAGCTAAGAATCGGCCAATCAAATATTATAGCTAGCATATGATTAGAAAAATATTTACAATAGCATAAACTAATCCTATACAATAATGGTATTATTGTATAGTTATCTAATGATTGAAAGTCTGATTTAATTTTATATATACAATATAAAAAAAATTAGACATTCATATCATAAGAAATTATATAATAATTAATAATATTTTTTTTAAAGTTGTATACTCTTAATAAGAGATAAGAATATCAATCATATATATAAATACAGAGGTAAGAGTAGAGTTATAAATATCTGAGTCCTTAGGTAGTTTTTTATTTTGCCCATTATAGATAAAGAAATATTTGATTCTGGAAAAATAATTAGAGAACTAGAATTTGTTTTTACTACAGGAGTATCTGTTCTAGATTCAAATAGCAGGTTATTAGTTTTAACTTCAGATTCATTAGGTGCAGTATCAGCACTTAGATCAGAGAGGTCTAGTTCTTCTGAGGCTACTTCTGGATTGAATATAGGAGGAGATGTAGTTGTATATTTGGTATAATATCTATCATATTGATCAAGCTTATCTTGATACTTAATATATAGCATTCTTTGCAAAGGTTTACCAGGTCAGTAAAACTTTGACATAGGTTAACAAGGGTTAACTCTTTACAAAAATATAAATGGCTTGTATTAAAAGATTGGTCAAGAATCTTTTAGAGTTAGAATGCTTTATCCTTAGTTAGCAAGTCTTGTTTAATATGAAGAATAAGATTTATTTTTTTATTATTCTATAACTAGTTAGTTTGATTAGTTATAAGAGATTCTAAAGCTTTAGCAATGTTTTGGTTGCTTTCTTGCAAATAGATTCTTGCAAGTTAGAAGATACATGTCTGATTATTTTATATTGAAATCTGATACTTTGAAAAGAAGTAGTGTAGTATTGAATTCGGGTTCAAAGGTTGTAGTTAGGATTGTAGAGAATATCTTAGCTAGCTTTGTATAAATATATATATGTTTGAGGTTGCAAAACCAAAGAGCTTCAGTTATGCTTTTAATGTTTTGCATTCTAGATCGAGTATCTGAATATTAGCAGATTTTATATATAACAAGAGTTTCTTGTCTTTTACTTTAGGTATAGAAGTAGATACTTATTAAAATGAAATAAGAAACATCATATAATAACAATATTAATAATAAGAAGTTTTATAATATACAGTAAGTTAACTAATCTGATAAAATTTTATTGGCTTGATCAATTGAAAAATTTGGTTAGCTAAGTTTCTAAGTCTTAATACTATATGTCCAAGATTATTTTGAACTTGCTAATTAGCAAGTCCAATTAACACATCTAATAAAAAACATGTTATTTTGAGTTAAGTATATAATTTTCAAAAAAGTAAAAAATTCTAAATAAAACCCATGCACATTATTACATACAAATATAGTATATATTCCAACTTAGAATAAAAACTAATAAAGGTTCAAGTATTATACATGAGATTCATTAATTGATCATTAAGAAAATATGGGCTGCCATCACTAGATTGACATTTCAGAAAAAAAACAATACCTCAAATTTCATGGTTCATATCTCAATAAGTTTTGAAGGTATTTTAATGATTTAATATTCAAAAGAATGTTTAGATCTTAAGCTATAAAAGTTTAGGTATTGTTTTTTTTTAAATGTTCAATCTGCTTGATTTCTATTAATATTTCATAGATCAATAATCAAGTAGAAATTTGTAATCAATATAAAGAATGCTAACTCTAACTTAAATTCAATTCTATTTCTAATCTAAGGTCCAATATTAGATCAGCTGCATTGGTGCCTTCATATTGATAAGTTGGACAATTTAAATATTTTTTTTACGTTTTCTGTTTTGTAAGCTAACTTTTTCTTTTTTCTAACATTAATTCATGCAAATTAGTTAACTGGTTTTTTATAACGTTGCCAGGTAATACTTGCAAAAAAAAATTCTTCATAAGTTTTAATAACAGGATAAATGTTAAAAATATTTTTTTTTAAAATTTATAAAATTTTTTTAAAAAGAGTGATGGCCAGGGCTTCTTAAGAGTTTCATATTATGAAAACCAAGATATTAAATTTTTGTGGCCTTAGTTGGTAAGAATTCCTATTCAGGTCATAATTTTAAATTGCAAAAAAAGCCTTTTATTTAATAAGAACAGCATAATTTGATAAATGATTACTTGTTACGATGCTACCACTATATATATATATGAATTACTGCCCTTGACAACTAAAAACTGCTTGCTGAATACTAAATAAATCAATAATCACATTCCCCGTAAGCAGATATGGTGGTGTACAGCCTTTGTAAACACATGCCGGTGCGATTGTCACAGTACACATTCTCAGAGCTGAGCAACCATTATACGGTCTTTTAAATTTATCGATAGTCCCAAATTCGAGCTGTAAAAATAGATCATAAAGCAATGTGATAAGACAAAATGGATAAACGGTATAAAATGCACAGGCGCATACCGTTTGAACTGGTCGGAACTTTCCTTGTGTTTCATTTACTTGAAGGTTTGCACGACGACAAAACTTATAGCACTATTAGAATAAAGGTCATTCGATGAATAACCCTTTGTGTCAAGATTGATATTAGTATATTATCTCCCGCAATTCAATATGATTAAAGATACATTATACCTGAGCATCACTTGGATAAAGGGATGGCCTAGGTAAGCAATTGGGCACAAATGAAGCATCAGGTTGTTTGGCAGAACTTCGTCCCGAATTAAGACAAGCTGGGCATAATGGAATTAATGATATTTATATGAAATCAAAGCACCATAAGAAGGCGCATGATGCCACCTCTAGGATACATACTCGTTGCTCCAATACTAGAAACGCGATCTTGAAATAACAGATTGTTAAAAGCAGACATAAATTGAAATGTGAATTCTCCGTGTGCGGCTTCATGATCACGATTTGGTAACTCATATATGATAACAACGCCGTCATCAAACTCCCAAAATCTGCCTGCATTTGCAATTTCACTCTTTTTCTCATAATCATGGTATGTTACATTTTCTACTAGGCACAGAGGTAGTCTAACAAATAAGCAAAACTTCAGCATAGCAAATAGAAACTGATGATACACAATAAATACTACCTTTTTTCATCGATAACCTTATAATTCCCATCGGTCCACCATTTTTTTTCTTTATCGCTAGCTTTATTGATAATATTAGTATCTCCTAAGTTGGATTCGATAACCTCGATGCATTCTAAGAAAGCCTCTTCATCCGCAGAAATTGGACATGGACTTGCGGTTTGAGATAAAGAATTTGAGGTTGAAGAAACAGAAGATTTCTTGTCTCTTAATATTGAAAACATCTCTAAAGTTGATTAAATTTATATAATTTGAATGTTTTACGATTATAAGGTGGTATATAAGTTAAATTTCATCCGATCGGTGTTAATTATTCTTTGCATTTACAGAATTTTACCAGAAAGTAAAAACGGATAAGTTGCCTAATTATCTGCCAAGCAAAGGAAGAAACTCATTTGATTTGCTGGTGTCAATCAATTGCCCAGGTAATTTATTTTATACACACCCCACAATAATTTTATCTTAAAATTTTATTTATAAACCAAATTTTAATATTTTAATAAAAGATTTTTTGTAAAATTTTGCAATATACTATGCTTTTACCTAACTATTAACTCTAAACTATTATATAAAACCAATTTTATATTATACAGATTTGCAATTATTGTTTATTATATTGCATAGTATTATATATATATCTATTCTAAAAATTTTTTGTTATTAATATAAAATAGAACTTAATTATATATCGCACCCTAATAAGCTACCAATTAAATTGTATATCTGCAATATAATGTGAAGATCTAAAATTTTTTAAAGAAAATATCTCAAAATTTTGTTTATGGAATAGCTTTTAATATTCTAACAAAAAAATTCCTTGCAAATTTACTATATACTAGACTCTAATCAAACTTCTATCAACCTTAACCTATTATATAAATTTTGATTTTATGCAATCATTTTTTATATAGAGATGCGATATTCAAGTGCATCGCATAATGTGATGTATACAAAATATACGATATAAACATTTAAAATAAAAAATTGGTTAAAAGAAAAAGCCATAAATATCTATAAAAATATATTAAATTTCTAATCTATTACGACCATTTGAAGCACGATTTGGATCTATTGCCGTTCCGATTCCTTCTTTCATAACATTTCTCATCAGTGTTGTTCCGGACACCTGTCCATGGACATGTGGACATATACAGTCCATGTCCATGTACAGACGGTCCATGGACATGGACATTGGACACTCTATTGTCTCTCTATGTCCATGGAAGTCCATGTCCATGTCCATGGACGGTCCATATTCATGTCCATGTCCGGAACAACACTGTTTCTCATCACATCTCTATCACGTTCTGCGAATTTTAAATATCAAGTAAACGCAAGATTTAAATTCATAGCTTCTCTATAACATTTAGCCAAGTGACACATAGCAACTTTATTTCTCCTATTTGCAGATGATTCAAAATATTGAAATGCTATATTCTTATCTTTATTGGTACCTCCCAATCATTTATAAAAAAATCATAATTTAAAGAATCACCCCTATCATTCAAATTTGTTGCATTCTGATAATTAATAAATGCTAAATTCATATCTTCACCTGTTCCAATGCCAAATTCATAACGTGTATGATAACAACAAATTTATGACCTAAATTTGCTGCTTTTTGATATTGTTCAAATGCTTTACTTTCTTCTTTCCGAGTACCGTGGCCATATTCATAACACTGACTGGGTTTGTAAATTGCTTTTGCATAGTTTAATTCAACAGATTGCTTATAACAATTAAATACATTTGAATAATCACGTACTCAACATTTTTGTAATATGATGCTCTTGGATTTCGACGATTCATATTCATAAAAAATAAGAATCCATTCCAAATACAATTAGATCTCTCTATATATGTCGTACGTTGGAATGGAATTATTATAGGTATAGAATCCACCTATGTTAATTCCAAATAAACATAGGTTGTAATGAAATTCTAAAATGTGCCCGAGTCGTTAAAGAATTCCAATTTAACTTATAATAAAATTAAGTGTATTCCAAATTATTTCATCGAATATGTTGTGTTGGAATTTAAGTCGCTTTAAGACAAAATTTATTCATAACACAACGTATTACAAATTAATTAAATTAAAAGCATTACATGAAGTTTTTATCTAAATACATTTACAATGATTTTTTGTCACGCGTTTTTGCAATATTATCTACATGTAATTGTGAAGAAGATTGCATAATAGGCATTATACGTAATTCTAATAATACCAGATTGCATCCAAGTCTATATTATATGTGTCATCCTTCAAACTTCGAGAATCTTGCACGTGGGTGTTTTTCGATCTTTGTGTTTGTATTTTCTGGATCTTGTAAAACCCTAATACAAAAATCAAAGTCTTCACATGTTATAAAGGTTTTACGCTAAAATATTGGGAAAGCAATTCTTCGAATGCATCATGAGGTAAAATGAATAATCTTGAGAATAAGAAAATAAAAAACATTTGCATTTAATCTTGATAATTTATCATGATGTTATGATGTAATTTATTTGACTACCGTTACGGCGATCGATTAAAGTATCTAGTTTAAAATTAACAGTATCGAATTTAGAATCAACTTAAGTTGCTTTTAACTTTCATATCAACTTGGACTATATTTGGAATTCCGTTTCAACCTAAATCCACAATAATTCCATTCCGACGTACGACATATATACTAGAACTCATAAACAGAGTTGCAAAATTACGGTAATTTATAAAAATTTCCTGGTTGTTACCGCTAAGTTAGGCTACGCCAATTTAATTATTTGTTTAACATAACCCCACTTTTAATGAAAAAAACAGCACTATATTAACCAATCAAATTGCAGTATTGGCTTTTTAATTTTTTATATTTGTTTTAGCCAATAGAATTAATTTATTTTGTTTTTGTTTTTTTTTATGCCCCGAATGAGAAATTTCATTTTATGTTAAACGGAGGATTAACTTGGAATGGCCTCATAAAGTGAGTTTTGTGTGGGCCATTCTGCCTTAATGTTGCAGAAGTTAATTTTAACCTGGTAACTTACGATGAAAATTTATAACTTACCGATTATTTACCATGGTAACTTATTATTCTATGCAATTGTCAAATGAGTTCCATTCATGGAGGAATATCAAGAAGTATAATTGCGCATGATGAAAAGTACTGACAACCGATAACGCGTTTCTTATAATTTTGGAAAACTCAATAACGAATTGCTGCCTATATTCACAAGATAGGTTAGTCAGAAGAATGTCGAGATCATATGGGGTGTTATCTATTAAAACAGCCCTTTTTTACATAAATTTTATTTTGAGATAATTGAGTTTAATCAT